GGCCAAACGGCCACTCCAAATCGTCATAGGTCGCCTGTGAATGTATCGTTTAATCTCTTCTTCTGCATTTCCCATGACCGCTTCTCCTTTCGGGTCGCGGAGACAAACGCACCAGACAGTGCTTCTAACGCTTTCGATCCTGCGCCAGAGTCTAAGCTCTGCAGAAGATTAGAACAAATTCTGGAACAGCCTCTTTCCATATAATTGCAACAGGTTAATCTTGGCCGTCCCCTGGTCCTTCTACAGGTCGGTTGGGCAAGAAATAGCTGCTTAGCTTTCCTTTCTGGAGGCATTCGCAACACATGCCCAAATCATTGCAGCTGTGACTTCTCAGTCTGAAACGAAAGTTGCACACCAAGGGTCTTCCGGATGTCTGCATTCCAGACCAAATCGAAACGCGCACTATTTAATCTCTCCACCCCAAAAACTGATTATCTGATATAAGAAATATAATTTTCTCTCTTCCTAGTAAAAATTGAAAACTGAAAAAAACTTGATTCGCACTGTTTAGAAACTTGCTTAGCATGAGATCTCGAACGAATCTTGGACCTCTATTTGAAAGGCGAATGTTATGAGATTTTGCCAACATCGTAAGCGGCTTGCATCGATGAACAGAAAAAGAGTGTTTGAGAAAAGTTTTCTATTTTCAAGGCTCTAAAACTATTACAGAGAATGGTTTGGTCAGAAAAGAAACAGAGACAAGAAATGGGTAAATCGCATGTCATAAGGGTTTATGATGCTTTCCTAACGTTGCGACCCAAAAATATCTTCTGATAAAAAAAACGGATTCCGCTGACTAGACGATGATGATGATCACACGATAATAATGATAACAACATGAAAATAATGATGCACTTCAATTAGCGGAGCCAAACTTCTGTTTTGTCCATTGCAGATACATCATTTTCTCATCTTCTGAAATTGTCTTCGACTTTACATTCGAGTTATTTTAACATGGAAATTTCTTTTTATGCCTTTTGCGATCGACAGTCAATATAATTAGATAACTCAGGCTTGCAACGAGCATTACCTATTCTTTCGATACAAAAAGACCATATCAAAGATACCATTTATCCCTTGTGGATTTTCCGTTGCACCCAACTTTAATGTTTTGATTTGTTCTCTCCCTTCTTGACTCTTTAATGTTAATAATTCATCTTGATTGTTTCAGGTTCCCAAAAGCGAGTGCTCTATATTCGCTGCTTCATGGGTCCACTGGCATATGTCATCCTTTTCGTTTTACTACTATATTGCTTGTCAAGATGGAGAATTTCAT